ATATAACTTAACAATAGTGTTCACTGTCACATCATTTACGTCATAGTTTAAACTGACTGATGCCTTGTACCTCTTATAATAAACAAAATTGGTTATCAGAAAAGAGGTGTGTTTTTTGCGGGCTAAACTTTGATTAACCCCATACTTAAAAAAAGATTCAAACAATCTTGGCTAAGCCATGAGACTGATCAAGTGCATTTTTCAATAACAATGGGAAGATACGAGTAAAACAACAGCAAGTAATCACAATTGATTGATCACTGGGTGGTGATCAATGTCATGTGTGTCGTCCTTAGTGCATATCAAATCCTGTCCTGTTGACTACCTCCAACCACCATCTAAATCTCAATACATAGTGCCCGCAGTGTCGAGTCACCTAGACTGGTGGCCACATTGCAACATGATCGATAGCATTCGATCTGCACTAATAAGGACTAGACAAGCGAGACATTGATCACCACCCAGTGATCAATCAATTGTAATTACATCTCAGTCCTACAGGAGGTTAGTCACGGCTCGGATAGCTCAGTGGTAACGTCTCTGACTGTGAAGCTGGGTGACACGAGATCGAATCCGCCAGGGAGCACCAGTTCCCTCAAGATTACAGGTACACCTTGCTGACGAGTGCCAAGTAGCACGAAACCCGGGTCCAGGGTTTCCTGTTGACTACGTCCAACCACCATCTAACACTAAATGAACTTAATCTTTCAACTTCTTTCACTTTAATATTTTTAATGTTGGTTTCCTGGTTCTCAAATAGGTGATATTTTATTAAGATATTTTACGAATTCTCTTACTAAACTTTAAGTCGTCGAATAACCATTTAACCACATGTTTTTGATTCTTACAAATTATTATTTTGATTATTATAATTGCTTCCTCCTCCTTTTTCTTCTGATTCTTCTTCCAAATACTCAATTCATTATTTGACATTATTCTTATAATCAGTTTGAAATTATAGAAATATTATATTACACCACCTTTCGAATGTTGGCAGAAGGCCTATGCTCCTCCACGAGGGCTAACGAGCGTAACTACTCGATTTGTATTTTCTTATGGTTTTAAATTATATATATAAAGAATTGAGTGAGAATAAATTTCTTCCTTCTATTCATCTACTTTAAATATAGGGGTTGAACAATTTTATTCTATTCGCTCATTACAAAACATTGAGATACATGGATAGGGGGGGGGTAATCGGTGTTCATTGTTGAATATACACTAACTACAACAAAATAGTTGTTCAATTCATTAAAGTGATTCTAGTAATTAGAAATCAACTAAGAACCATTATTTTTTATATTGATAAAAGCGAGTTATCATAACTCTAGTAAACGATAATGTTTTCAGAATATCAGGGTTCCAGTTTCCATCAATAATTCAGACTAATACATAATCTAGAACATGTGATTTATTTTGCAGTCGGCTTAAACTAGACAGAACAGAATTTCAATTTTGCTGGAGTTTTGTTCTTTAAGCTGGATGGTTTGGTGATGGAGATTTCATCGTTCTTCTGAACGACATTATCAGGACAAACTTCAGGTAAAGAAAACAAAATTCCATCAAAATGATCCATCTGAGCTACAAATCTTCTCCACCATCTCAAAATCATATAATCGTAGTACACTTCTCGTTGTTCGAAAATGGAGGCATTTTGCGAAAAGACAGGCTTTCACTCAAGAACAATTGTATTTTCTCCACGACTGTCTTAGTCAGAATGTTCTACCAACAAGTGTATGATACAGACATCCAATCAACTGCCCAATGGGATGGAGAAAAGCTGAGCAAAGTGGAAGAAAAATGGTACATCTAATGATAACTGATGCACATCACAGAATTCCATTTCAAAAGTTTTACTATTGGAATCGAATAATTCCTTATACCATATCACCAGTCCTTTTGGGTCATTAAACAGATAAATAAATACAATATTGCATTTACCCATAATCTAGTGAATGAGGACGCAGGTGAGGAAGATCAATTTATGCTTTAATGCAAAATTACAGAGCTCTTTCATAAAATGTGAAAACCATACGTCAATTATTTCATTTGCAAATCTATCAATTGTCTTTTATATCCTTCATGATTCTTCCGTTTCCCAATCCCTTTATGACTCCCTTCCTGTTTTCCTCAGTTCAATCTTCTCAACCTTCTTTCAACAAACATTCCATTTCTGATCGGTGTTACATACTACTTATATCTGTCAACATAAGTAGCATACACCGCAATAATACTTATTAAAGCCATGTTAATTTTTCTGATTCATAACTCGTCACACTTGCGAATGTTTATCGACTGATATGTTTGGGCTATGTGGTGTAAAAGGTTAACTAATGCCTTTTTTCAAGTACAATACTGGCTTGTATAGATGTAGGTTGAAAGAAAGTTAAGGATTGTCCAACCAAAATATTATATCAGTCTATGAACTAACTGACTTTCGACATCCACACGATTACCGTGAACAATTATTGGAGAAGTTGAACAACATGGCGTTGAATCGATTACACACATCGGTCTTTCCTTAAATCTGAAACCTTAAAGTGGTTTTATACATTTTATTACTGATCCATCTTTTCTTCTACTACTACTGTAGTGAACAGAACACGGGTGGGGACAACCGAATGTATTCAACACTAAATTACAGGACATGTTAATAAAATCTAACAATCATAAAGTAAATGCTTAATGTGCAAAATGTCCACCAATTGTCTCCAAAATGACTCAGACTTCATTGGTCTTGGATTTTCATACAAATTGCATTTTGCTTCCATTCTTTACTGTTAGATCCTCTTGTCTCTGCTGCCAAACCTTCTGTTTATGACTAACATCATATACTACTTATGTCAATATAAGTAGCACAAACCACGCTACTACTAATAATAATATATTTACCACTTGTGCTACATTGGAATTTCTCTTGATAGTTTCGTCTTGCTATGCTGATATCATGTGACAAGTTAAATCAGAGTATATATACCAGGTTATATATTGCTTATGACAGTTTCATATTTATGTTCCAGTTTCACGGTCTCATTCGTGATATTATTTTATGATAATTGACTATCAAGTTTGGAATATGAATTCGTATTTGCATATAAAACATTAATTGGATAATAAATTATTTGTGTTACATTTCTTAAAATGTAAGGTCTGTTGTTTCAACATCGTACAATGTTATATGTTAAACCAATCGTTATACGGAATGGTGTTCATTGGGGGTAACTCACTATTAAAATATAAATGTATATAGTAGAAGACATAAACCATCTTCTAACATCAGTATCTAGTAAGCATAATTTTCTAAGTATCTATAAGTGAAATCTTTTAGTTTGTAAGAACTTATTTATTTAGCTAAATAAATCATTTAAAGTATACATACTCGTAAACATGTTCGATAATCTATGGTTTGTTTAGAGAAACTTAGTCGTTTAGTTTTAATGTTAGCAATGTTTGATTCCCCGGGTAAATATCAGGTCATAGATAACAATAATAATAAAAGTACTTGTGTCAAAGACTACAACCAGAGGTCTAAGAAGCTGCTAACAAAAATTAAGACTAGAATCATATTAATCCAACCGCCGTCTGCCCCGACGTGTGATGTTTCATGGTATAGGACTACGTTGGAAGAAAGTTAGGGGCGGCCAGAATATAACATGGCACAAATCCATGAAGTCATTAACAAGTGGACTGAGTCATGTTAGTAGGTGTAGACTACCTGGTTGGGGACCGCGAGATGATAGCAATCGATGGTTAGAGACCTTGAATGACATGGCTCAAAATTGTTTGCAATGGTGCAGGTTCATCCACTCTTTGTGTTCTCTCAAATTCTAATCTCCTGAACTTTCCGTATCCCTTTTTTTCTCTTTCCAAATTTGTTTTACAGGATCATACTCTTTTGAATAACATTTTCAAACCCCAATCTTTCCGATTAATGCTTATACTTTTACTACCTCTACCACTACGGGATTTGTATTAAATCTCTGTGTTAATATGGGATGGCACGCACATACGAAATTCTACGTTGTTGATGACTAACTGACTGAGTCAAAACCATTCACTTGTATTAAATATTCTTCATCAAAAGATTATATATTCAATGCTACCAAATCAATTGACCGAATGTATTTGATTAAAATAGATTTTTCACACTCAACAGTCAGTGTAGTAGAATACAAGTCAACAATACTAATATTCTATAATTCACTTGATATTGTTTTTACTTGAATCTTCCCATTGATGTTTTTTGGACTGAAATTGATCAGTCTCTTATTAGCATATGTGCATATTGTGCGTATGCCTCGATATTGCCTTAATTTACAAGCGTTATAAGTAAAGATGGATAGTGGCTAGCGGTGGAATCCAGGACGCGCGTTTCGTCCTGTTTGAGACTCGTCAGCTGGATGTACCTGCATCTCAGAGTTAATGTTCACTCTGGGACTCGAACTCAGTACCGTTCGCTTTAAACGCCATCGCGTTATCCACTTAGCTACTGAGTCCTGATAGCCACTTGCTTGTGCAAGGTACATCCAGCTGACGAGTCCCAAACAGGACGAAACGCGCGTCCTGGATTCCACTGCTAGCCACTATCCGTCTTTGCTTCTAATATTCTATAGTTGATATATTCCATGAAATCTAACTCTGCCTGGAGTTCCTCTAGGGCTACTACCTATCCGAAGCCTAGATAATGGAGGAGGAGGAGACTTGAGCATGAGGTTAGCGACGCTAACTAGAAAAATAATAATAATTCAATGAAATCTATGAATTAATAGTTACCTGTTCCAATCATCAACAATAGATTCTTGGATGCATAGAATAATTTTTATTATGTGTATATCCACACAATGTACAATATAAAGAAAAAAGGAGATGTTCTTTAAAAAAAAATACATATAATAACCAAATTCCAACTATAATCCATTTATAAGTCAATAACAGATAATTGTATACAAAATGAACATTCTAATATTGAAAGTTCAATTGTTAAACAAGCAAAATAAGGCATAAAAAATAAATATGATTAGTAGAATGTAACCATTGATGAAATCAATAATCAATTAACCAAATTCCAATGATTTAAGGTAATTAAAAATCAATACTGAAAATAATATTTGTTTTTTTTTGTTGGTTAGCGTACACATTAAGGGAAGCACCCAACTGTGTCACAAGACAAGCCCTCACATAGAATCCTGAAAACCAGAGGAGAAGAGGAAGACCAAAGAACACATTACGCTGGGAAATGATGATAGATATGAGAAAAATGAACAAGAATTGAATGGAACTAGAAAAGAATGCCCCGGATAGAGTGAGTTGAAGAATGCTGATCGATGGCATATGCTCCATTAGGAGGAACAGGCATAAGTAAGTAAATAGTCAAAAAAAGAGAATTAAAGTAGTATTTAACAAAATAATCAAAAAAAAAACAACCGATTAATTACATTCCTTGAGCATCAAAATAATCTCGCATTTCAATTAATAATTGTTTTGCATCATTAGTTCGATTACCAATTTCATAGATTGCAATTAATAAAGAATTTTTTGTTAATAAACCAGATAATTCATATTTACCAATATTATATTCATTTGTATTTGGTCTTGTATAATATTGAATTATATCGGCTAAAAGTACACCAGTTACATCATCTACATCTTTATATAAACAAGAATCCATAGCTATATGAAAGTGTTTATCTATAATTACACGATCTGCTCGTTCAGCCTTATTATCATGATAGATAGTTGTAGTCGTCATCGTCGTGGTCGTGGTCGTCGTCGTAGTAGTAGTAATGGTAATCATTGAAGATGTCGTGGAAATATTGATTATATAAAAAATTACAAAAAAAAAATAATTTATTTATAAAATGTAGATTAATTACATTGTGGAATAATTTCATCTAAAATATTACTGAACATTAACAAGTATCTACTGAATAGGTGTATCATTTTACTTTGAAACTTATCAAACTGTATACTCATAGTTGAAAATAGGAATCATCATATCTTGATTTAAATTATTCGAAAGTAATCCATTCACTGTGAGATCTATGTTCCATTCAATAGTGAAGTAGTGAGAACTAATGGAAATTTTCAAGATAAGTGGAAATATTTGTTCAATTGTGGGGCCCTTTTATTTGTCGTCATTAAGATCGGACGATGTTGTCGAAAGGGCTTCCACTTTAGTGGCCCGAGATCTGACTTCAAGAAGATCGTAATGAATGTTTGTTATTGAAATATATATGTCACCTATCCTCGTATATAATCATCGACTTAAATCGCGTTAGTCAATAACGGAATTAAAAAAGTCAAATAACGAGAATGAACTTTTGAATACATATATTTTATATATAAATTGAATGGAATAGAACGAAACAAAACGACGCGCAGTGGAGATGGCGAGTAAACCAACTCCCATTCAATCAAGCGTTAATCAATATTTATAGTTACGCAAAAGTAAGTTGCAGACATGCTATGAGTAATGGCATAAGAAGTGTACACACACCTACGCGCTCATTTATAAACAGTCAAGATTGATAAGCGAATAAATAACAAGGTCAGAATGTAACTCAAGTAGAAGGAATAGAATAAGCTATCCGGAAGCTAGAATAAGGTATATGAACTTAACATAATAACCGACACTACACAGTGTTCTCTAGTCTCCAATATTCGTTTGGATGAAGTCAATCCGGTTTTCTTTTATTATTTTCAAATTCAACAGTATCCACAAACACCTTACCTTAATATTAAAGGTAACTAGCCAAAAACAGTGTTAAACATTTGTCTTTTTAATTGTTAATCTAACCGATTATGTTAACTATTTCATACTAGACACAATAAGTTCCAGAATATTTATGTTTTATTCAGATGAAATCACCTTATTACTAACCTCAATAGAATGTATCACAATCCTGTATTATAAGAAGAGATGAATAATGGCTAGTAGTGGATTCCAGGAAAGGTGTTTCATTCTATTTTGGGCTCGTCAGCTGGGTATACCTGCCAAATTCCAGAATCGATGTTCAGTTAGGCGTACTAAACCAATTACCATCCACTTTAAATGCCATTTCATCATATATCCACATAGCTACTTAGTCCGGATGGCCACTAGACTGTACAATGGGGTGGAGTTTAATTCATTTTTATTAGTTTTTTGAATCTTCCCATTGACGCTTAGGAATGCATTTAGTTTAAGCATTCCCTACAGAGTGCAAATATGCCAAAAAGAGATCTATAACCTATAGTTTTAAGAAATTATCGATCATCAGTTACTCAGGATGGATGGATTATAACTAACAATGAGACCGGGAATGCGCGTTTCGTCCTATATATAACTTGTTGACTAAATATGCCAGTCACATATCCGTGTTGGTGTTCACATTCCGATATAAACACAGTACCTTTACTTTCGAACACCAAGTGCGATAGTCCCTGGGCTACCAACTGCGGAAATATCAATCTAGTTCCTTACTCAATGGTATTCATTTACTGTCAATTAATAATCAGTGATTTTATTTAACAAAATAATTGACATAATGGCAAAATTGATATCAAAAATACTGAACTCTAATATCAACAAAGCATTGTTTGACGATATTTCAAACTATTCTTCCTACTATGGAGTTAGAACAGGTCACTGTGTGTTTATTAGTTAAACTGTTCTCGTAATAATAAATTACTATTACGATAATCAGACTGACTCTGTAAATCCAGTGTTTGGGTAGAGAAAATAAAATCTACTGAATATTTTGTACTTTAATATTTAAGGGACATATATCATTAAATAAATTAGAGCCCAATATCCACCTTCACACTCATATAGCTAATTAAATCTATCGAGATATGTACATTTCCATCCACTAAGAATAATATGTAATAGATAATTACAATTTTCCCTCCACCAGTCTACCTATCTCTGACACACAGTATGAATCATTCCCTACCTTATTCATATGTAAATATTCACTTTATGTGCGTTTGTGTGTATATATGTCTTTGTTTCATTTGACATTCAACGTTGTATTCGCCTTAATTCACATAGTAATGATGATTTATTGACTATCTTTTGTACAACAAGACTCCACTATCCTTTGCATATGTATTCATCCTAACATGGGATTTCCCAGTAGTGAGCATCCATTACCTTTATACATTGAACTGATTCCAGTACCCTGGATCTCGCGCGAGAACGATTAACTTCCAAACCACTGAGCTGACATGCAGCGACCTTAACATCTAACTTCAACTAATCCATGATTTCAACAGTGAAAATGCTACAATCTCCACAATTTGCATAGATTAATCATATATGTGTATCAGTTTAATTCTGTTAGCCATAACAGTTCAAAATGTTCTTGGCCACTTATAAGCGCAAAACTTGATAGGAAATCATTGAAAATACATTGTGGTAATACTTTATACAGTATGTAAACTACTCATTATTTATACTTTTTATACTACTAACAAGTAGTTGAAAAGATATTTCTAAAGTTTTCCTTTCCTGAAGATTTACAACTCCCATCATTTAGACTTTCGGCGTCGTTTTTAAAAAAAAAATTTGTACTAGGAACTCAAATGAGAATTAGTATACAAAAATCCAAGGAAACCACGCCCATGTCTATATTAGTAATCAATATTATCTAGCGCATTAGCTATGAATACATTCCAACTGAATAATTTGTGAATTAAAATAGTCTATTTTTAGGGTAAAATATGAATCATAACTGAATCATCGAATACATTTGAAGCTTGTGTTAAATTTCGGCAGTTTTATTATTCAAACATACTGTCATTACGTTTATCAGATTTATTTTTATACCAATAAAAATGTGTACTACTCAAATCTAAGTGAAGAAATTACTTAAATTAAGTCACGAAACATCAGAAATACAATCGTTCTACACTGTGTAATATAACAAAACTATATTTATTACCAAGTGATGTGGTTTCGAAGTCCATGGACAGTATCAATTTCCTCAAAATTGGATTTTTATATGAAAACTAAAAAAATTGAAGACAAACTGTCCGTTGCTACGAAAAAATTAATTGGGCACTACTTATTCATCTTGTCAGTAGTACATAAGCTCATTTTAAATAGTAAGAGTTCAGATCGACAAATCGTGGATTATTAGAATAGGTAATTTCTGGAGACGGTATAATTTTCATAGTTTTAAACCATAAACTGCTCTTAGCTAGGCCACGATTAAGGACTTGGAAGCATAAGACGGTCGTCTAGTCTTATTATGGGAATTCTTTGCAATGTGCATCCACGAACTCGCTAGCGTGGATCGAGGTTGAACGTTCACGTGCAAGAATGAGGAGTTCCATACTAAGACAAAATGGTCGTCCACAGCTTCAATCTTTTCCAATGGCAGTCCAGCTAAAATAGTGAATTGCATTTTTCACATTTTAGCTTGACAATAAAGTATGCCATTACAAAAAACATCTATTTGATATTGACATAAATAAATTACATATCTCTTAATAAAAATCAAAGAAGGTTGTAATACATTACTATTTTTTCCCCAGACTTTGTACTTTAGACATATGACAGAGCTCATCGTCCATAACTTGATAGAGTAATGATACAATTTTACAAACAGTTTTTGTTCTGTATGAAGTTTTTATTCTGAGTATTTCAAAATGAAATATTCATATAGCATAATACTGGTCTATCATAGATTAGACACAAGTTTTACCCCTGTCAGAATTCACAAAAGCTTTACAGTAGCCATAAGAATGTACTCTGGAAAAGAATCTTAATTTCAATAAAAGTCCGTTAACCAGTGGAGTTCAATTGTTGGGAATCAGATATCATCGATGCCATTAGATAATAAATGACTGGGACTATAAATCATGAAATATTAACTCAACGATTCGAATGTTAAAGGTTCGCAATGAGATATGCATAAACTGAGTGTACATTTGAAACCACACTACTTAGAAGCTCATACTGAAACAAGACAGCTGTCCAGTTTTTCTTATTTACTTACTTACGCCTGTTACTCCCGATGGAGCATAGGCCACTGATCAGCATCCTTCAACCCTTTCTGTCTTGAAACCTCCCTTCCAGTTCTATCACATTGTTGTTCATTCTTCTCATGTCTGTCTCCATTTCTCGTCGTAATGTGTTCTTTGGCCTTAACGATCCCATGTGAGGGCTTGTCTTGTGACGCAGTTCGGTGCTTTCCTTAGTGTGTGTCCTATACACTTCCGGCGCTTCTTCCTGATTTCTTCCTCCGCAAAAACCCGGTTTATTCTTCCCCATAGTAGGTTGCATCTTCTGGATGATGGCTTTCGTAGTTCTCCAAGTTTCCACCCCATACAGTAGAACTGTCTTGACATTTGTATTGGAAATCCTGACCTTCATGTTGGTCGACAGTTGTTTTGAGTTCAAGATGTTCTTCAATTGTAGATATTCTGCTCTTGCTTTGTCGATCTGCACCTTCACATCTGCATCAGATTCATGATCCATGATACTGCCCGGATATGTAAAGGATTTTACATATTCCAAATGTTCTCCATCAAGTGTGATTGGATTGGTGCATGCTGTGTTGTGTCGGAGAATCTTGCTTTTCCCTTTGTGTATATTGAGACCTACTGCTGCTGAGGCTGCTGCTACACTGGTCGTCTTCTCCTGCATTTGTTGTTGCGTTTGCGATAGGAGGGCCAGATCGTCTGCGAAGTCTAGATCGTCTAACTGCATCCTAGATGTTCACTGTATCCCATTCTTCCCTTCAGATGTTAATGTTTTCATGATCCAGTCGATCACCAGGAAAAAGAGAAATGGTGAGAGTAAGCAACCTTGCCTGACACCTGTCTTTACTTCGAACGACTTTGTCAACTGTCCTCCATGCACGATTTCGCAGATTAATCCATCATAAATATTCCGTATGATATTGACTATCTTCTCATGTACACCGTAGTGTCAGAGAAGCTTCCATAATATTGTCTCCAACTTTCCTCAGTTTTCATTAATTATCTAGCTAAATTCATTCCATGATATAAACTACCATTAACATTAATAATAATAATAAACAACCACTTACCTGTGCTAATATCATAAATTTATTAATTTGTTCAATAGATGGTGTAAAATCCTCTGGTCCATAAGCATTTATCGCACCTGATCGACGATTGCATATAACAGCTTTTTTCACTAATCTTGTACCCAATATACTATTTTTTAAAATTCTATCATATACATCAGAATTGCTTGTTTGATTAAACTAGAAAAAAAAAAGAATTATGGAATAAAATGAAATACCTAATAAACTTTAGGAATGGACATAGATTTAACAGCTTCATCATAATAGATGTAAAACAATTACCAACCAATAGTATTTGAAGATAGCTGTCTATCGAATAATACAAATTAAGTGACATTAAAAACATGTAAATCATAGGATATTAGTTTAGTAGTTTGAAGGTTGAGTGATTTTCATTAGAACTGAGAATCTTAAGATTGATACTGGTTGATGAAGTCGTACATGGACATTACTACTGAGGAGTCTTATACTATAAAGAAATAGTTATCCAATGACTCTTACTTGCTAGCGATTGTTCGATTAAAGTCAGTTTGTGTTGTAAATTAAAAGATTCAATAGAAAATTTCATGAAAATTTTTTATTTATTTATTAAAGTTGACTTATTTGGGAACAAATGAAGTGAGAAGGTAGGTAATAGAAGAACCTAAATTCATCCAAGTAGTTGCAACTAACTTAAAAACATATCAACTGTTGTTCACAGTTATATAACATATAGAAAGTATCAGTATAGTGGTTGTGCAGATTGTTAAGTTTTTGATTGAGATCATGAACCGATTGATGTTAGACCACCATTGAAAACCTGAAAGGACTGGACGGCCGTTTCGTCCTATTGTGGAACTGCTCAGCAGTGCGCACCCACGATCCCGCACGCGGGATTTGAACCCAGGGCCTCCAGTTTCGCGCGCGAACGCTTAATCTACTGAACCAATGAGCCGGCATCCAATTGTGTTAATGCTAATCCCACGAGCGGGATCGTGGGAGTCCCACAATAGGACGAAACGGCCATCAAGTGCTTCCAGGTTTTCAATGGTGGTCTAACATAAATCGGTTCATGATCTCAATCAAAAAAATAGAGAAAGTACTTGATTTAAAAATTTTCATTTTATATGAACAGATCATTTTGTATTTTGATGAGTTAGATCGTAACTCACTAATATATAGCACGAGAACTCATCTACTTTACTTCAATTCTTGTCTAGGATTTTGAACCGAATATCACTCAACGTCTATGACAAATTTTATTTTTATTTATTTAAACACATAAACATTGTTACAAGAAGGCACCAAATAGATATGCGCCACATAAATCATAAGATTTGTGCAAGGACTGGGATACTGCCCGGGTGCATAGATCGAAGCAGGTGGTTTTCTTAATGGGCCATACCGAGTCTTCGACCTAAAGATCTGATCCACAAAGCAGTGGAGCAACATCAGGAGATGAAGTCCCATGGTAGCCAGTGATCAACAATTGGTTCATACGCCATTTGTTCCATCAGGATACTGGAGCCTATGTGCATCATTGGTTTGGAATCAGGGTTGTCCAACTCTCCTAGTTGAACCCTCCATATCCACCAAACCGGTTAAAGCACCGGACATTCACTTTTCGTCCTCTCAATTTCGTAAACAACACCGGCGGTGCGAGAATACAGTGAGTAGAACTTCTGTGGCTGTGGTTGTATACACGTGGCCATGTGAGAGTATTTCGAGAGGTAAAGCTAACTCTCCGTACCCTCAGCCATACCAAGGCATTTGGGGTTACCAATGTTTTAAGGATATTTATGGTGGAATATGTACAACTATGCCATGTTAAGTATCGTTTATACACTATCTCACCCAGCAAATGTATGAATCGGGCTAGAGTGGAATATAGTTGTCATAGGTAACAAAGGTATTCACAACCGTCATGATTAATATATATATATATATATATATATATATATATATATATATATATATATATATATATATATATATATATATATATATCCTTATTAAAAAGTGTCATTTAGTAGTTTTATATTTAAAAGTTCAAAAATTCATGATGATAATGGATAAGCCACGTGTAAACCTTCAGTTAGATTGACAGAAGTACATCATAATAATTATTTTTGAAAAAACTACATCAACCCATCAATCTATTCACATATTAATATTCATATTAAAACGTACAGTTTCTTGTGATTATAGTAATCGTATGAAAGAAATCTTGGGTTAGTCATTAGATTTGCGGAGATCAGTTTTATATTCAGACAGTTTTTGTCACGAGCTGAGTTTATTTAAAATGTAATTGACAACCGATTTCTTCGTCTGATCAGATATCACTACCAAGATACTACTATGAATCGTACTAATGTCTTTTAGTTCTTGTTGCGACTAAGTTACTTTTAGACTATTGATTCATATGCAATTTGTCGTTATAAATGTTTCATGCTAGAACGGAACAACTCCTCAGGAATCGCTGATTTCAATACTATCCCTAATTAATACTGATCACTGACTAAAATCACCTATAAATTCTCTGTCATTTGACAATAGATGTAATATGTCATGTAGCCAAACATGTAATACAAATATATATGTATTATAATTTACTTCGTATTGTCATTTATTGATTGAATAGCTGATTATTATTATTATTATTATTATTATTATTATTATTATTATTATTATTATTATTATTATTATTATTATTATTATTATTATTATTATTATTATATCAAACCTACCATGTCACTGAGAAAACTAAATGTACACATCTAGTAAACATTTGGTGATAACAATAATAAAACAATCACACAGTCTATTCATTTCATGTATTTACATATAAAATATTCTGTTCATTAAAAAAAAACGACACAATTATTCAATAGCACACCGTTATTGATTAATTGGTAGTACCCAATGTCTTATTTATCGAATCCTTAGTACTAATCATATTATATCGATCAAATTGAATAGAATGTGGAAATTAGTCTAATTGGGTCTTAATTTGTTTAAATTAAGTTTTGTGATAGTTACCATTGATCAGAGTAATTTAATTGTGATGATATAACTGTGTTTACTGTTTTACACACTATATACACTTCAATGTAACCAACCATTTAGTATTATTAATATAACTGTTTAAACTTATCACAATTGATTGATCAATGGGTGGCGATCAATGTCATGCGTGTCTAGTTCTTATTTAGTGCAGATCGAATGCTATCGATCATGTTGTAATGTGGCCACCAGTCTAGGTGACTCGACACTGCAGGCACTTTATATTGATATTAGATGGTGGTTGGAGGTAGTCGACAGGAAACCCTGGACGTGGGTTTCCTGCTACTTGGCACTCGTAAGCAAGGTGTACCTGTAATCTTGAGGGAACTGGATCCAGGTTTTCCTGTCGACTACCTCTAACCACCATCTAATGTTTAAACTTATCTTCATAATTTAAATCACAAACGGATATTAGCTAAACTACCATTGAAAACGCGGAGGCATTTCGCAATTACCTTTTCTTAATTTGTAACTCTTCAGCAATGCACATCCACAACTTCACCACAGAAGATTGAATCAGATATCTTATAATTCAAAAATGTGTGTTTTTGAAACCACCGAACTAATTAAATCCCTTAAGGTAATCTAATGATCTACACTAGCTTACATCTTCGAACTCATGTTGTCAAGATAGTTTTTGAAATACAAGTAGTATTCAAATTCGAGTAACATAAATCTATACTCAACTAAGGTTAACTTAATCCCTTACTAATAAAATGATTACAGAAAGATTATAAAATCCTAGAAATGTCACAAGAGGCGGCCAAACCAAAAACGTGGCATCAGTATTTGAAGTCACTAACTTCTGGTCTGAGCCAAGTTGGTAGATGCAGACTACTTGGTTGGGGTCCGCGTGACTCTCGTAACCAATGGTTAGAGACTCTTGGTGACATGGCTCAGAATCGATCACAATGGCGTCGGTGTATACACTCCCTGTCTTCCCTTAAATTAAGAGATTAAAATCGGTTCATATCTTTCTTTCCACTAACTAATTCTTTCTTCTTATACTATATCCTTATTGCAATCTTTCTCCTATATATTACCATCTTTGACCTAACCACTCCTATGAACTCGGTGTTCATCTTGTTGTGCTAATGAGGTATGGCAACCTGGACCGATGCACATATGTGCCTGGTCCTACATTGTAGCTGACTGACTGACTGACGGAGAAATGTCACATTATTATTACACATAAACTAGAAATCGATAACTAATAACTTTTATTTTTTAGCTTTTCATACACTTCTAGAATCAGTATCAATTCAGAATGAAGTATTCATTCAATAGATTAGATGTTAGTCATGTGTTCATTCTTTAGAGAACAAAAAAAGGGTTTTATGATTATGTAACATTAAATCGAGTTTTGTAACTAATGTAGTAATAGTACATAAGTACACACATATATATTTCATGTTTATTATTATTATTATTATTATTATTATTATTATTATTATTATTATTATTATTATTATTATTATTATTATTATTATTGAAATTTAAAGTGTTCACAATCAATTAGATTGACGTGTCATAAGAATAGAATAAAATTAAACTGTATCTAATTCATTCACATGTAACAAAGTAGGTGACTGACTTTTTGGTTACTATAAAATTGTATATTTTAATGATAATCAATTATACCTGTACATATTCATAGACACACACACACACACACATGCACATACACAGTGACCTGTTAATATTATATAGAACTACGTATTTGAAATTCTCTGGAAATATTGGACATTCACATGCTTTTCAATTTAGTTAGATTGATTTATAATTATTATCATTGTAAGGATTGCAGAGATTGTTAAGTTTTTGATTGTGATCATGAATCGATGAATGTTAGGTTACCATTGAAAACTTGGAAGTTTCGGATCGTTATCTCGTCCTAGTATAAAACTTCTCAATAGTGTACATCTATGATCATTAAACTATGATGCACAGAAGGCTGGACTATGGAGATTTAACTATTATTTAATATGTTAATACGAAGATGAAAGTGAGGGGGGGAAATGGTTAATAGTGTCATATCATTTTCCAGTTACTTGTAGATCAGATTTGATTCAGTTTGTAGAATGTGAAAAGTTTTCATTCATTTGATAAAATGGATGAAGTTCTGAAAAAAGATTTAC